AGAGTTTCACTGTAGATAGTCATTCGGACTTGCAGAATGACTCGAGTGTTGATGCATGATAATTTGGATAGATCCGAACGTAGAGCCGGTTGCTTTGAATGCTTTGGAAATTTACCAAGAGGCCTTTAGGGATTCGGTTAACAGAAGGGTTTAATACATTAAAACCTATTGGGAAAGTTGATTATCAGTGATTGAGCATTCACATGATTATATAAGGAAGCACACGCGTGTGTGAGCTTATGAAATGGCGAACATGTAAGAATATGGATGTAACTAAGTAGATGTATGCACAGGCCGAAAACTTACACATTAATGGCCGTTCTTAGGATATGGTAGAAGGTAGGGAAGCAACTAGAGAATGTAGAGTAATATAAGTTTATCAGAAAAAGATGTCGGGGTCTGGTTTGAATTCTTTCAAGAAAACTATACTCGCAATTTGTAAAAATATGCGTCAAGGCTGTTAAGTAATAGACTAACCAATGAGCATTAAATATTCTAAAATCCGAAGGAGGCTTGCTATATTGTTGGGCTCTAATTTTATTATGTATACAACAACCAAACTGCTTAGAACTCCCTGAAAAAGGTATGCCGCTAAATTTTATCGTAAATGAGTAGGTTTTCTAGACTACCAGTAAATCAGATATATATGAGTTGTCCTCATCATATTACATTCATGGGGATAAGGGCTGGCAGTTGATTTTTCCCACAATGATATGAGTGCAGACAGCTCAAATATATATGATTTAGTGGTAATCTGAAAAATATACACATTTACGAAAAAGGTAGTCACCGATAGCTATAGCAAATATAAGTTTGCTTCATCGACAATCACAACACAGAATGTGATATTAAAATTCATATCTGCCCTGTGACCCAAGGGAACCCGTAGCAATGTGGCGTGGTGTTTAGGATAAGACCGATGCGAGGTCGAAACTGCAGTCCACCCTGGATGATAACACCTTTTGGGAAAGCAAGGCTCTGTGAAATTCAATGGAAAATTCAGCTTCATTCATAAGATTGTCTTAAACGAAATAGGGTGAACACACCCATGTATACAAATATTGACAAGATTCTTGAATTAATTGATACCTTAAGACCTCCACCCGTGTTAATATAATTGGTTCACTCATCAGGCTTAGGAAGACCAAGCGATTTAGAAAGTTCCATTTTTCAAGCCAACAGCACCTAAAAGTTTGGACAAGTTTATTTAAAAAAAGAGTTTATATGAACTTCTGCATTTGAAGTTGGCTCATACAATTAAAGGCAGTGACTTTCGGAA